TACTAATACGTGTTTTAACGACGGGAGGTAAACAATAAACGGGCAGGCTTGCATTTAAAGAGTTATACCAAGAATAGCCATGCTATTTTAGAGCCCTTTCTGTACTCTTTATGTCCCTGTGCCTACTAACCACTTGATATGTCATAAATAGATTAAATAATATTGTGCTCGGTCGTAATAAGGCTATGGCTCGGCCAGGAAAACAATCACGCACTGGAAGGAAGATGCTGTTCGTTCACACCATATTATGGGGATGCAGGCATGCGTTAGCGGTAATACATATGGTGTTGTCTCTATTACGCATCTAATGGGGGACATAAAATTGAGGGGTGTAAATGAGAGTCCTCCCTTCTGTTTCAGGTAACGCCAAACATATGGTGGGCTGGAGCTTTTTTTAAATAATCTACTGGTAACCTTAACACTGCTTACAGCCCCACCAGGGGGGCTAGAGGCCCTACAGTAACATCTACACGATATTAAATACTCTCAATCATCATAGAAAATGGGATTTATATATCATAGTATATTCTACAGCAGTATGTACTAACACAAGGAGTGGCTTGTTTTTTATGTAGTGGATGTTCACTAATTCTCCCACAAGTATATATTATTATTTGCACCTGGCTACACATAATTTAATAAGTTAGTTGGGTTGTGTCTTTTGATGCACAGAGAACACTAACTGGTGATCCAGCATGAAAACAGCCTGCCAGAAGGGGGGGGCTCAGAGATGACTTTTAAGGATTGTTAAATTGATAATCTGGATTTTGTTAGTGTTCTTAATGTTCCTTTAGGTAAGAAGTCGTTGTATACTTTATCTTGAACCAAATAAATACACTGAAAGTAATCATTTAGTTTGCTGTGTTAGATAACCCTCCAGAAAAACGCGGATTCTGCGATTGCAGAATTTGACCGCATAATCAAGCAAAATTTGCGCAGATTTTTTAAAAAGCCGCCTATTTATCAGAAGGGCCCGCCTAATCCCCGCATTTTCCACAAAGTTGAGAAGCAAAAAAAAGTAACTCGTCTTGACGTGACGTCATCAGCTCGCGCCATCACAGAACGTAAACAACACTGTATAGAGCTCATTTACCAACGAACATTTCTACTAAAGACCGCGGCACAAAGTGCGGGGGCGAAACCTATAAAATATTCTGCACTCGTGCAACTGTGTGTTGGAGCCATAAGGAGCAAAATCGATGGTGGCGACCCACTTTGAGTTCATTTCAAACATTTGAAATGCCTTTCTGCCTGCTGCCGGACAAGAAAGCCATTCAACTCACGTTCAACCGAGGCAGTCAACCTCCAAAACCTTTCGAGGGCTAAAGAAACGAAGTGAGTTAGCCTAACAAGATGAAGCCTGCAGATAACGTAACGAGTAAATGAAAACAGAATGAAGGCCGGAGAAGTGTGTGGTGTGTGTGGTGTGGTGTGTGTGTGTGTGTGTGTGTGTGTGTGTGTGTGCGTGTGTGCGTGTCGTGTGTGTGGTGTGGGGTGGGGGGTGTGTGCTGAGATTTATAATAGCCCACATTGCTTTTACAATAAAATAAACATTGAATGCTGTTTCATTGAATAGTAAAGGGGTTTAACGTTAGTGGCAGGTGTGTGTGTGAGAGAGAATAAATAAGACAGCCCAATATTTAAAAAAATTGTTATTCTTTTTTCCCGCTATTTAGCATATTTCGCCAACTTTTCGCCAATTTCACCGCATAAAATCACCATAAAAACCTCGCATTGTTTAATCGCATAATTCAAGGAATTTTGCCCGCGTTTTTCTGGGGGTCTAGTCTAGATATAATGCTTCACTTCTACTACAAGAGAAATATTTTTTGAAGAAGAGCACCACATTTAAATTGCTGACGGTAGTGGAGCTAAGCCTAGCGTCTCAACCACATGTACACAAAATGTCAATGCCTGAAAAACCTCTTTAACATGAAATTTTGCGCTTGCATCACTGCAGCCCGCTCTCCGATCTGCTCATTTTAGACATCAAATAGACAGAAATCTGAGACACAACTACAGAAAACCACATCACATCGCCTTGCTTCTCTTCTTTCTCTCTTTTCAAAAAATAGAAAAATAAAATTCCCACTCCTCGACCTCAGCTAGCTGTTGAGAGGAGGGTTGATCTCCCTCGCTGCTCCTCCGGATTTTGGAACGGAAAAAAAAAAAACATACATTCACAAGAGGCGACAGAGGAGAAAGCAAGCAACTTGAAACGTGTCAAATTTGTGGTGCAAAAAACATTTAGATCTCTATAAAAATATGTTCATATGGAGTAGGAGCTATTTTTAATCTCCGCAAATACAGTATCTTTTCCTTTATTTACACTGCCACAGATACCACAGAATAAACCATACACTACAGCTCTGCCCTGGCTCCCTCTCTCCGTCTCGGTTGCAGGCGTAAAAACAGACATGGCCGCTTCCATGACAAACAGACTTTGACGATACTCGCACATAGGAAAAGCAGACACTCTTCACACACCACGTACGCACACACACACCCCAACGCTCGCATTTCACAAAACCACTTCCTGTGTAAGGTCAGAGGTTGTCAGCCAGACGCTGCTTCCTGATTGGCTCACGTGGGTAGGGACAGTGTGTCAAAAAAAAAACCTTTGGCTACGGAGTTAGGTGGCTTTAGTCCTGGTGTGTTTTTAGTATTAGTCCCAAACACACCATGTACAGTGGGTCGTGTTAGACCGGTACAGCCGCCGAGGATCTGCTGTCCTTTAAGCTGCGGAAAATAAATCCACCGTGTGTTATTCTAGGACTGTACCAGCGTCTCTGGAAAGAATAAACCATGTCTTTTCTAGTCGTCGAAGCAAAAAAAATAATCCATCTCCCAGATAGCTTTTCCCTCTTCTTTTCTCCCCAGCACCAATCTCTGCTGAGAGGACGCTCTACTCCGACTTCAGAGATTTAGGACCAAATAATTCCTGAAGGCAAAAGCCCGGACGTTCATTGGGCGGTCCTACGATTCTTTGCACTGAATCCCGCACCGCTCCCTAGTCTGTTGTCGAAGGGGGAGGAGCATGTGGCCGTGTCGGCGTCTGACAGGCCGGGAGACAGGCCGCTCATGTATCTGGACTGCGGTTGGTCGAAGGTGAACTGGGGGAGGGGGATGTAGTCCTGCCTCGCAGCGGGGGAGAGGGTCTGCGAGAAAGACATGGGGACGAGAGGTGCGTGCGGCTGGATGAAGATTTTGGGGCTGATGGGGATGTGCGAGGGCGTGGAGGCGTGAGACGGGGTGTAGGCGTGTGTGGGAGTGGACGCCCGGGACAGAGTCAGTGTGTGTGTTGGCGAGTGTGTTTGCAGCGGCACGTGGACGGGTGTGAGGGGGGCGTGCATCGGGGACAAGTCGTACGAAGGCGTCCTGCGTCTCAACATCGTGCTGCAGTCAGACAGTTTAGGGGGCGAGTCGATTTGGGGGTGTTCCCTCTCTGAAGGCGGGTGGATGGATATACAAGGGGGACTCATCTTCTTCTTCCTGTGGCCGCCCCCGACCGACTGCACCCTCACGGGGAACGGCGGACCGGACCGGGGGGTGAAGTCGCAGTCGTCCCCGGTGATGAAGGCCTGCGGGAGGCAGACCTCGATGGAGTGGCGGCGGTGGTCGTCGGGGTAACCGGCCGACAAAGATGGCGGCTCGTCCGTGAAGCCGTGGTTGTCCGCGCTCGACCCCTTCCTGAAGTCCGTCAGCCCCGCCCCGAGGAGGCTGAGCGCGCTCCTGGAGGAGGAGGGAGGCAGGGGGGAGGAGGAGTCGACGTAAGGACAGAGGGAGTGGCTGCGTCCCACCTTACAACCCGCTCCCTCCTCCTCCTCCTCCCTCCACCTCTGGCGGGCGGAGCTGGTGATGTGACACACCTCCTCGTCCGCCGGGTCGCAGAGGGAGGCGCCCGAGGGCTGCCGGGGTCTCCGCAGGCGGGGGGAGGGGGGCGGAGGGAGCAGGAGCGAGGGGGAAGACGGCGGAGGAGGGAGAGGGGAGGACAGGAGAGGGTGAAGAGGAGAGGGGAGAGGGTGAAGAGGAGAGGGGGGAGGGAGGGGGACGGCTGAAGGGGAGCAAGGTGGAAGAGGTGAGGGAGAGGAGGGAGGAGGAGGAGGCAGGGGAGACGGGGAGGACGGGTGAGGAGAGAGGGGAGGCAGGGGAGCAGGGTGGGGTCTCTCCTGTTGCTCATAACTCTGGTACTCCACGGAATCCACTTTCACTGCCACCTGAAACATGAACAAAGAATCAACACATCTATATGAGCGGTTATATTGCAATATGTGTTTTTGGAAGTACGAAGGAATCCGTCACCTGTCTGCGCAGGGCCCGAGGGGAGGGGCTGGGCGTGGGAGGGGCGATGCGGGGAAGGGTAAGGGTGGGAGGTGACCGAGGGTGAACGGGGGAGGCGTCCGGTACCTGCAGCAGAGCGTGACCCTCACACGGCTGGGAGCGGACCGACGTCACAGAGCCTGGAGGTGTACACGTAGAGATTTAAAATCACAGCCATGATATAAACACATGGACAGAATCACAATGCAAACACATGCATTGTTGCACATGCATATGCAAACACATTCGGACTATTTCCTTGTACTTTGGGAGGATTTAAACGTATTTTAACCGGGCCAGGATTACAAAAACACTTTATTTTGATAGGCCTGTTGAGCAACAAGAAGTACAGGGACGTTTTTTGCTTTAGCTCATTAACAAA